AAGTGTACTGTCAGGTACTATGGGTTAGTAAGTTCTTTAATAATTATTTTAAAATATTTATTTATTTTTATTGTACATGTTCAGGTGTTCTGTTTATAAGTATGTAAGTGCACTGCATGCGTACCTGGTGTGATGGATGCCTTGGAACCGGAGTTATGGATGGTTGTGAGCCGCCATGTGGGTGCTGAGAACCATACCCAGGTCCTCTGCCTGAGAAGCAAGTGCTCTAAACTGCTGAGCCATCTCTTGAACTATAAGCCATGTGTTGTAAGAGCCAGAAAGATAACTGGGATTGTACTCAACAGGAAATTTTCCTTGTGTACCTGAATTCCTGAAAGTGATTTGTCAGCTTTTGTTATGAATTAAATTTGGGACCAACTGTTATCCAACAGAATTTCTGAAATATTCTGTGATGGAATTTGTAGGTTCCATATTTTGAGGCAAATTGTCTTAATGTTCATTACATAGAATGCTATGAGCAATGAAGAGGCACACACTTCTGGGAGCTGAAGAGTGACAGACTGTGCTTTGTTTCATTTTCAAGGAGAATCAAAGACACGAAATTAAGATTGTGGCAGAGAACAACTGCTAAAGAGCCAACAATGTACTTTCCCCTGATCTCCCTGGGAGCTGTAAGGAATACAAACTATGATCGTGTAGAAACAAAGATGCTCATCTTCCATCTTCTGTGGGTTTTGGTTGCTGTGTTAGCTATGGAATTGGTGGAGAAGCCAAGCATTACACATACAGAATCAAGTGGTGATTTCTGGAATGCAGGGTAAGCATTCTGGTGGGTCAGATTGGAATCATTCCTGTACAAAATATCCTCCAAATATCAACGTCTATCACATGCAGTTAGGACACAATGCACAATACGGATCTCAAGTCCCTGGGACCAGTTTTCTGTGGTTTATCTTCTCTCTTTGAAAATTCAGCTCCACGTGAGTTTGTGTAAAGGTGGAACAATTTAAAACCAGTTTGATATGGAAGAGTCTGTCACCACAGCAAGTTGAGTGTGACCTGAGTTGCAGACGACAGTCTCTGCTCAAGAACTGGTCTCTTTCTTCTGTAGTTTCTTGTAAGTCAGAACACAAAGGTGGCTTTTGGCATTTGTACCATTGTAATGCATGGTTCATGCAGGACAGCAGTTTCCCTGTCACTGCATCCTAGATGTGGCACTGTGCCAGGGGTTCCTGCTGTTATTTGTTGTACGGTACACAGGCTGGTAGGATGACTGTCGCACAGGCTGGACCTGCCAGGGGTTCAGCCACATCGCCTTCGAGTTCAGTCCAGGTTCCCTTTTCTGGACAATAGCAGATTGTAGATGACTTGTAGGCACCCTGGAATGGCAGAGCAGGGAATATTTAGAGCAGGGAGGTACTCAGAACAGCAATGGCATGTTACTCTTCACAGTGTCCCTGCAATGGCCACGTCACTCTTCACAGCATCACTGGGAAGACTGACTCTGCTCAGCCCAAAACATTTCAAATGAACTCAATAGTTTTGAACTGTTATGTTCCAAGGAAATATTTGAAACTAACAATTCAAAATCTTGTAGGTGTGTGTATGCATGTGTGTACAGGAGTGTGTGTGTGTGTGTGTGTGTGTGTGTGTGTGTGTGCAAGTGAGCATGTTTGCACATGTATGTTTGTGGAGAACGGAGCGAACTCTAGTGTTGCTTCACTCAAGTGTCCACTTTTTCTTTTGGAACCTGCCAAGTGGGCTAGTATCTGACTCATCTACCTTCCCAATTTCTTAAACTAAAACCACAAGCCACCACATCTAAAGTTTTTGTTTTTATGAGGGTCCTGGAGATTGAACTGAGGTCCTCATGCAGGCAAAATTGGGACTTTACTGACCAAGCTACCCTCCTAGCCCTTGTGGGATATTTTTGACAGCTAGTGATCAAACTGAAATAAATACCTAGAACATCTTTAATAGTCAATGGTCACTTTCCAATTGGCTGGAAAATGGGAGTTTAAAGTGAAAGAAGACACACATTATTATTTAAATGGCTGAAGTGAAGCAGATGTTAGATTGTGGCTTCATTTCTTTGTTTTTATTTTGAGTTTTTCTGTGGAGAATGGGAGCCAAGCTAGCAAGGAATTTTACTATAGACTGAAAACGTATCCACATATTGATTTATTTATTTTTGAGAGGCCACACAGCAAGTGCACATTGGCATAATTTTGGTGCCGTTGTCAACTTTAAGGCTCATGCTTGAGTAAAAATTTCCTTCCCAAATTAAATCATAGGAAACAAATAAAAACCTCAATAAAACCCATGGAATTTTCTGAATGTGAATTCTTGGTGTCTGCCTGAACGCAGCTCTACTCTTGTGAACAATTTGCGACAGATAACAGTCACATGTGTGAAAATCTAGGTTTCTATGTCAACTTACATTTGCCTTTATACAATTAGCCTTTTAAAGTTCCTCAAAACTTTGTATTGTAAGCTGATTGAATACAAAATAAATAAAACTGCTATTAAAACTCCAAGTTGACCTTTTAAAACCAACATAGATGAATAAAGCAATATAAAAGCAGTCATCATTGTGAGAACAATGAAATTGACCCCTAGGCCTGAGGTTTCTCTTCATTTGATGTAATCTAAACACATAGTCTCCTTTTCAAGATATTGAGTTTTTCTTTTATTTTTATGCATAAATAGTATAAATGCAAATTAAAAATATGAACAAATAATAAAGAGCTTGAACCTAACCAACTCCTGACTAACCCAATCAGCTTCAGACTTGCAGTCTGGAGAACTATTTTAAATCACAACACAAGGAGGTTATTAGCCATCCCACAATGTGGGCTATTCTGGGTGACAGATGAGGTTATTTTGTCAACAAGTCAGGAAACACAAAGTGGGGCAGAGGAAATGTTCTAGACTGAGAGGAGCCAATGGGACATAATAACCACATATGTGTGAGACTTAGTAGTGTTTTGGTTTGGAAAATACAATGTTTTATAAGCCAATAGGAAAAATTTGAGTTTAGATGGACATAAAGCTACTATTGTATTTTGGGAGTGTGATAAATGATAGTATATTTACATAAGAGAATAATGGTTTAAAAAGATAAATACTTTCTAGTGAAAGAGGACATTTGAGATTTGGTTCAAATTTTATTTTCAGTTAAACTTAAAAGAAAGGTCTATTGATGGATGGTGACAGTGATGGTGGGGAAAGGAAGGTCTATCAATTTATGTTTATGTTTGGAAATTTTCATGATGGGAAGGGGAGTGAAAAGCAAATTCATTCCCTAAATAGAATTCACAGACATTGAAGAGTTAATTTCCATGTCTTGCTCTTTCTGGTGAGAAACTTTTCAGATTTTCCTATTCAATTTCTGAAGACCATTTCAGAAATTGAATCATTTCATTTTGGTTGGAGTTGGAAACCAGAATTGCAAACACATGGGTATAGGAGCAAGCTGCTATGGGATAGTTGATGGGCTAGCAAGCTATTTCTACTGCATCCATGCCAGTTCTGTCTTCCTGCTCATGGTGCTGTGCCACCTGACACGAACATGATATTCATAAGGAGTACATGTAGGATGATAGCACATCTTTGGGAAACAAACAGAAGTGAGCACACACAGGAGGAGGAGGAGCAGGAGGAGGAGGAGGAGGAGGAGGTGCAGGAGGAGGAGAGAAACATGGACAGCAGTGAGCACACACAGGAGGGGGAGGAGCAGGAGGAGGAGGAGGAGGGGGAGGGGGAGGAGGAGGAAGGAAACATGGACAGCAGTGTGCACTCACAGGAGGAGGAGAGAAACATGGATACGTACCATACTCCAGCTGTAGCCCCCCACCAGATAAATGCTGTCATCGAGCACTGCACAGCCGGGGCCACTTCGACCCTCCAGGATGGGGGTTTGGAGAATATTCCACTGGTCACCTTTTGGGTCATAGCACTCCACAAGCATGACATCAAGGTGGGAGAAACCTAGGTGACAGGAAAAGGCATGCATAGAAGAAAAGAGTGACTCCCACCGTCCACTTAAAGCTTTGACTTCTTTTTAAAAGCAAGGAGGGATGGAACTAAGACATTAACAGTTGTTATTTTGAAGACACAAATGCATAATTTCATTAGAGAAATTGGGAAACATGTCAGAAACTTCTAATAAAGACTAAACTAAACTAAACTTAAACAAAACACCGAGAGATTTCAACAGACTTTGGGTGTTTTGCATGAACTCAAATCAAGAATGCCTGAGTAGGTATCATAAGGTTGATTACACAGGGGTAGGCCTTATAAAAATGATGTATTATAATTTTACTTTAAAAGATTTAAGATAATAATGGTCAACACAAGTAGCTTTACAGGCACCCACTCCTGTTTTGTTTTTAAAGGTGACATCTTCATACAGAAGAATGGGTGTTAGAACTCAAGACTAAACCATATTGCTTTTCTTGAATATCTAATCCTCTCAAAATAGTTCCATCAACTAAAATTCATTGTTCAGGATCTTAAGTCTTTCCTGGAGTCTGACTACTTATAAGCAACTTCAATAATGAGTTGAGAATTTCTTATGGGTCAAGGTTTGGAGTTGGGGCTCTAAGTGCTGAAGGTCTTCTTCCTCTCTGCTGCCTCCCTGCTCGTGTGTTTTTGTGTGTGTGTGTGTGTGTGTGTGTGTGTGTGTGTGTGTACATGTGTATGTGAAGGAAGGTGTGTGTATATGATGTGCATATGTGTTAGCATATGTACATATGTGTGTGAATATGTATGTTTGTGTGTGTGTATGTGAATGAGAGTGTGTGTATATGCATGTTTGTGTGTGTGTGTGTGTGTAAATGTGTGAATATATGTGCATGTCTGTCTGTGTGTGTGTATGTGTCTGTAGGCTAGAAGTTAACCTCAAATATCATTCTTCATGTGCTACCCACTTTGTCTTTTGAGACAGAATCTGCTAGGTGACCATGAGGATCCCTCTGAGGCTATTTATTTATTTATTTATTTATTTATTTATTTGGTTTTTCGAGACAGGGTTTCTCTGTGGCTTTGGAGGCTGTCTTGGAACTAGCTCTTGTAGACCAGGCTGGTCTCAAACTCACAGAGATCCACCTGCCTCTGCCTGGGACTAAAGGTATGGGCAACCACCGGCTTCTTAAGATCTGAACAAAGGGAGGGCTCCTTCAGAAGAGCCCAGAACCTACATTTTTCTTGGTGACCTTGTTACTAGCCTAGCTGTGAAAAGAATCTTCTGCAAGGTAGAAGGAGGAGCACATGGCTGTAACTTTACCAATCGAGAAATTGAGAAGGGGTATCACAGTTTCAAGGCCAGCCCGGGCTACATAGAAGAAAGAGGCTGCAGTACAAATGATATTTTGCCTATAGATATTTTCTATCTATATGCATACATTAACTAATATCCAGATTCTTCAATCATAGTTAAGAAGATAAGTTCCAAGTTCCAAGGAACAATTTTCATTCCTGAGACAGAAGATAGGTTCTTTCAGGCCACAATAAGCAACAGGCACACACTAGGGCATCCTGGCTGAACATGAACTCCAAATACAGATATAAAAGTTAGCCTGTGCGATTTTTTATTAAAGCAATGTGTAAATACAGATTAGAAAACCTTTTCACGTCTAACCTACTTTTGGATTCATATGCTGCAGTAAGATGAGTGAACATATTGGGTGTCACTATTAGTAACTAACAGGTGTGCCTGTTTCATGTACTTCACTAATAGAAGTGGAGACGTTGGCTTCACTATTAGAACACAGGTGTGCCTATTTAGCATGCACTCAGGAGCTGGCAGAGATTTTAGAGCTCAATTTTGACCAGTTTCTTAATTTTTTGAGAAGAAGAACCCGAGGCCCAAAGTGGGTCAGGTAAGTTGCAGTACCATAGATCTGTTTCCCATCAAATGCAACGTCATATACACCCACAAGTTTATAAAGTGCACTTAAACTATAAAAGTTGTTTTTCATAAATGTATCCAGGGAAGGATAGCAGCCAAGCAACATCTTTTAAAAATGCTTTAAATTTAAAAAAGCAGTTCAATTTGAGAATCATAGATCATTTGATATTCAATACTTAAAGAAGTAATTCTAAATTTAGACACCACATTTTTTGCTATGAGAAAAAATCCATACATTAACTCTGTGAACCTGTGAGTATAGTTCTTTATTATTGCAGCAAAAAACAATTTTCTGGAGGACAATTCATTACTACCACTTTGGGGATAAGGAATAATTTATTTCCCTGACTTTACTGTTACAACAAATTGTGCCTTTTCAGATATTAATGGTCTCGTTTCTTCCCCTTAGATATCATTATTCATTTTTAATGTGTATGGTAACTTAAACATAATCCTATCTACAGAATTCAAACACAATAAATGATTGCTTCAGGGTCCCGCTAACACAGTAGACTGTATTTGGTCAACATGTTTCTGACATAGTTAACTATGATTATGTAATAAGAAATCCCTAAGCAAGGAGCGTGGGATGCAAATGTTACTGGGATAGGATCAAAACAAAACAAAAACAACAAACAAGAAAACACCTTTCAAATGATTTCCTCCAATTGCATATAAGCGATCATTCATCACAGCCAAAGTGTGGATGGCACGTTTTGTGTTCATGTCACAGGGTCATAGCAATACAACCATGGCACATATTCTCCATTGTGCACACCCCCTGTGAAAAGCAGACACATCTGGGTCAAGTAAGTGCCTTGAACAATGAACTTTGTAACGAAAATTGGAGGAATGACTTGCCTGAAATGTATATTTTTCCATTGTGCACTGCTCCTGCATGGGCTGCCAGAGGCTGAGGCAAAGAGGACACATAACGCCACTCGTTTGTGTCCAAGTTGTAACACTCCACACTGGACAGGTAGCCGGTTTCATTCCTCCCGCCAATCACGTATAAATGCTTGTCCAAGCGGCATGCATAGAAACTGGCTCTTCTAGAATAAAAACATCGGCTCTCAGTAAATCTGTGAAGTATCACTTTTGCAATGGGGTAAGGGATACTCAATAAGCCTGTGAAAGGGGGTATGTCTCTAGAGAGGGCTGCAAAGCTTTGACCATTACTGATCTGTCTTCTAAATCCAAGAGCCTATATAGCAATCCTATGCATTACCCACCCAGTTAGCACTTGTAATGTTGAAATGTTAAGGAAAGAGAAAGCCACTAATGCTTTGTGTCTGAGCTTTTCCTCTTGCTTTATACACTGCTAAAATGTTCATTAATGTTGGAGATGTTTGGTACTTCTAAGGATATCATAGTTCAGTAAGACAAAGTGAAAAATGAGGCAGATAATGGAACAATAATAAATTATCTTGACATTCACTTTCTCTATGGTCCTTCAAGGGTCATTGTTCCCAATTTATTAGAAAACTGCATCATCAAAATTTCTCTTCAATTATCATTTTCCCCTCCTAGTACAACTGCAAATAGAACAACTTCTGTGAACTTTGTCTAGTGTTTCTATATATTTGACTTTTAACATATATGTTTGGCTCTTCTAATACCGATCACAGGAATTTCATCCAGGGAGCTTTTGGTATTGATTCTAGTAAGGTTTCTGAATGATTTTAGTTCTCTGTTCAAGAGAGGCTACTGACAGTGTTTGCATGCTATACTTTCAAAGGCAAAGTGTATGAAGTTTATTGAAAAGATAGGTGACCAATTGTGAAGTAGGCCATGATTTAGGAAGGAGATATTGGGAAGCTGAATTTAGACTTTCAACAGAAGAAATGGAAAGAATTGAACTGAAAACTGTGGTAATACAAGAATATGGAAGACATACCTAGTAAGACATGAGAAGTAAGAAATCTGAAAGGCTCAGAGGTCTATGTTAGGATGGCCAGGTCTATGATGACCAGGATGGCATACATGTGATCCACTGATGAATAAATATTGCTGGTAAATGTCAAGGCCCTGAAGGACATGATTTACACTGGATTAATTAATAGGCTCTATAAAAATTGATGCTAAAATTCTTGTGTAGCATCAATTGTAATATGGATACTTAGAATTTTTAATCAGGTCCTACATAGTATTTGGAGATATTCAAGGTTGTGTGTATGAATTACTGAAACATCTAGGGGCAAGTGCATGACACCTTGACAGACAATGTGACTTACACAACTAGACAGACTGGTGTGGTACACTAGGTGTGTGACCTTTGATCTGGTACGTAACTTCTCTCAGGCTCAGATTGCTCTCCAGTAACATGGGGACGGTGAGAGAACATCCCATGAGGTGCGTGCAGATAGTCCATGTGCTTGTATCAGTGCCTACTATGTGTTTATTCTCAGAAACTGCCAGGTGATCTTTACCTGGATAAAAGTTAAAAATTGGCTCTCATGAACTCTTCCTAATATATTACAAGGCTCTCATATTAGTGCTCAGGACCATAAATGTTTTGGATTTCAGGAAACTTTGCATTTAGACATATTTAGATAGATGTGGAAGGAACCCAAATCTAAACACAAAATGCATTTTGGTTTTATACAGACTTTATACACTTACACTTCATTTGATCTTTAAACAGTACTTAGATGCACAAAATATTCTTTTTTATTGTATCTGCTGAATCCAATTAGTGCATGAATATGGGGCCATCCACTGGAATATGGCCCATGAGCCTAAAATATGTGACTCTTCTTCTCTCAGCTGATAACTACCAATAGGTCTTCAGCTAGGGTTGGGGCTTTGAAAACCCTCTTCATCCAGGCTGGAATTTTAACTGGCTTGATCTTGTTCAGGTCTTGACAAGATAACTATGGCTACTGTGAGTTTGTATGTGCAACAGCCACACCTTGTTGACAAGATAGCATTTCACAGTACTCTTCCCCACCCTCCAGTTCTCACAATTCCACCCACCTTTAACACCTTTCCTGAGCCTTCTTGGGAGGGAGGTTGATAAATAACTCATGGTTATTTGTTCTTAGCACTTTTGCCAGTTATGAGTATCCATATTGATAATTTTATGCAATATGTTTAATGTGCATATGTTTTACTGTGAATATGTCACCTGAAGTTACATGCAAATCACACTGGATGTATTTCAGATTACAGATGCTCAGCTTGTGTTACTGAAGTGACAGCCAAGGGGTCATATTTGCTCAGATGATTTATCACTATTTAAGTGTAATATTGTTTGGAGTTAATACTGCATTCAACTTTTGTGATAGTCTTACATTGTCCTGATTAGGCTAATATTTTGAATGTTCTCTTTTCTACCTCTCATCCATATTTTTCAATGAAGTACATGCTTTGGAAGATTTGGAATGTGATGGAAAACAGTAACAATGGAAGGAATTAGAAGGAGAAAAGTGGGGGAAAAAATTAAAGGTGAGTCAGATTTCATAAAGCAAAGACTATTTTTTGTGTTCTGGAACCTTAGTACTGTGTGTATGTGTGTGTATGAATCTCATCTAAGTATAAAATTAGGATTTTAAAAGTTACAAAGTAAGCTTCACAGAGCTGGTCCACTGACTCCTTCCACTTGAATAAACAGATTCCAATTGATTTCTAATGAATATGATCTGTCAAAATTATTTAATGCTCTTTTCTTTTCAATTTAAACTGTTTCATTGAAAAGAATGACATGGGTCTTCAAAAGACAAGTGCTTCACGTCATCATGGACAGAGGGGGCAGTGTACTTCTTCCAGATGGTTCTGAGATGGCTTTGGAGGTCTCTGAGAGGATCCTTTACAGATTGCACTGAAGAATCATCAGTGTGGACTTGGACTACTGATTGTAGGTGGGAAGGATGAGTCCTTCTCAGGACTGACCCAGAAGGCTACAGTTAATCATAATGGATGTTGAGGTAGTGATAAATGGGGGAACACTCCCTTTAGCAGTCTGAATTCCACTTTTATGGTCTCCATTCCAGTTTTCTCATTTTGCTCTGATGGTTCCTTGCCCTCTGAACCAAGTCAGCCCATCAGAACTGGTTTCTGTTCCAGGCAGTGTGACCCCCTCTGATGATCCACCTGTACTCCCAGTCCCAGACAAACACAGTGGATTTAGGATCTAAATTGGAAAAAAACCATCAGGTCTAACTTCTTATTCAAAATGCTATTTGGGGGGTAAAAATTCCTACAGTAATGATGGTGAATAACCCCAGACTCCCTCTCTGGGCCAACTTGTATGTTCCTGAAATGCATTACAGAACAAGTGCTTGGTGGTCTGTCAACACTGAGTACCTTCTACAAGCTCAGATTTTTACCCGACTAGATTTCCCCCCTCAAATCTATAAAAAGAACTCATTTATTTGACTTGTGCTTTTATTGTTTTTGAAAGTAACTTCAAGACAATTTAATATTCCTTAGTGAAATCACACTGTTGTAAGTTCAAATTGTTCATTTCTTCCTCCTCTCACTTCTCCTTGCTCTCACTGCCGGAAGCAATAGTTAGCAAAGACTGTCTATCATATATGAATATGAATATATATTCTATCATTTTCTATCACTGATATATCATTTATCTGTCTATTTGTATATCTACATATTGATCTTCTAGCTGCATTAAATGATACTTATCCAGCTAGGCGGTGGTGGCTCACACCTTTAATCCCAGCACTTGGAAGGCAGAGCCTGGCGGATCTCTGTGAGTTTGAGACCATCCTGTTTTACAAGAGCTAGTTCCAGGACAGCCTCCAAAGTCACAGAGAAACCCTCTCTCAAAAAACCAAAAAAAATGATACTTATAATAAAGCATAAGACTGAATTGCTGGAACCTTACCTTAGTTTGAATTGTTGAATTAAATTATCAAGTTAAAAACAACAGACTTTTTAAGATGAATATTGTCTCCCACAGTTTCTCCAATAGTATTTAAATTTGGGAATGTTTTAGGCATGTTAGCTTCTGGCTTTTCACTCAGTGAAACAGTGGGCTGTTGTTGCTCCCCAAACTGTTTTTGCCTCCCATATTTTAGACTAATAGCTAGGGGGTAAAAATGATTCTTTATTGCTAAGTATGAAATGCCCATTTTACTTTGAAAATAGAAGTTACCAAAACAATTCTCTTGTTCTAATTTTTCAAGTTTTTCCTTTCTTCCTGCAGAATCAAATACTAAATCTAAGACCAAAATACTTCATCGGCATTCATTTTTATTATTGTAATTCTTATTAAATGTATCCATTGACAATTTCATTCATGTGTATAATGCATTCTGGTTACTCTTACCCATATCATTTCCCATTTTCCCTCACCAACTCCCTCCTCCCTACAACACCCTTTCCCAACTTTACATCTTTTTGTTTTGTTTTGTTTTTGTTTTGTTTTGTGACTCACTGGGTTTAAGCAGGGCCCTTCATGTAGGGATGGGTTTGGAGCTGATCATTGGAGCCTGGCAGGCTCACATGTGGGTACACCACTGGACCTGTCATGAGTCGAACATGATGCCAAAGGGGCTTATAGGACTTTGTCCTTCCTTGCTTAACTGTTGGTCATTGGAGTATTCTGAGGGAAAGTAGTCATTGACTTCCATTGTGTACATTAAAATTGTATTTCCATTTAATCTTTTGCTTATAAATTCATAGCTGGAAAGCATGGACTTTATGAGCTCATTCAGGGTTGAGTAAGCCTAGAGGCTGTATGTTCAACTCCCTGCTGAACAAAGAGACAAAGAGGGCACCAGCAGCTTTAGAAGACTCCATTAGGTAAAATAGCCTAGAAATCTATTCCCAGCCCTGTAAGGGCGATTTACCCCTGTGATGACGTACAACCTATTTCTCTTATTCTCAATCAATCTGATAACTTCGCAGCATAAGAATGTCTCAACCATTTGGCAGGAGAATAATAAGGAACAGGTGGATGAGGAACTTCTGGTTTGATTCATGATCTATGGCTTGTAAAATTAACTTAAATGTTTCAATAAGTATCTCTGATCTTGAGTTTCTCATCTATCTTGGGTTTCTTTCTCTTGTGTTTAACCATCAATGAGAGCACCAGTGGCCACTGCTAGTTTGAATGGAAGCTGGCAATGGCAGAAGGCACACTTCATTGGAGTGATGGACAGCTGCCTGGATCAGCCGTCTCACAGGGGAAATGACACTAGAAGGCCAGTGGGTGAGATCTGTGGTTTCTTACTCAGCTCGTGTTGATTGTCTAAATCTTAAAACAAAAGAGAAAGAAAGAAAACTTCTTCTACTGAGGACCTGACATGATATACCATAATGACTTCCAGAGAAACGCTAAACAGTCCATCCTGTCAACGGTGGCTGCCAGGCAGCAACAGACCATGGCAGGTCTTTTTGTCAGGTCAGTGAGCTGCTAAAAATTGTCTAAGTAGGACCTTGCCATGAGAGGCCACCCTGCCTCAGAGGAAGTCATTATAGACTATCAAGTAAACAATGCACATTCTAAAAAAAAATTACTAATTAGGTTTTTGTAGAAATACTTTCCATCCTTAGGGGCTGTATAGTGAGATAATTGACCGCAACGTGAGTTATGCCTTCCAAGCTGAAGGCATGAAGGTTAATTATCATGGTGTACAGCCCCCAGCAAAGGGGACAGTGATGATGAGAGAATGACATCTCAAACATGTGTCGGCAATTCCTTTGTAAATAAAACTTTCTAGAAGATGGTTTTGATTAAAAGGCAAAGTAGGACAGTTACAGTAATAGTCACCAGAAGCTCATCCCCAAAAGAAAGGAATGGAATATTCTAGAGAGAGACAGCAGGAGACTTGTGGCTCAAGAAATTTGTTATGACGTTGATTGACTTGGCAATATTTCTTGAGGTACAGTGGAGAGTGAGAGATTTTCTTAAATGGGCTCATGGTACCTAATATACTGTATGGACATTCCCAGCTTATAATGTCTCCTCAAAGAGTCTCAATTTTAATCTTAATATTTTGGAAGGTTATTTACATATTTGCAACAGTGTCTCACAGGACAACCCAGGCTGACCTCCAAGTCACTATTTTTCTGCATCAGGCTTCTGAGTGCTGGGGTTGTAAACATGTGCTTCTGCGCCCATCTAAAAGAGTTTTAATTTACTTATGTGGGGTGGAAAGATATTGAGCTTCTTAATACACTTAAATAGATTCATATTGTCTTGTTCTAGAAATGCCCATTTTGGAATATATGCTATTTCATGAAGATTACTTTTCACATGAAATTTATGCTAAGGATATAGTTTGATCTCACTGCAATCTATTTGAATGGTAAAACAGATATGGAGGGAGTTCATTTTCTGAACAGGCAAGAAAAAAAACATAGCTGATTGCTTCTTTTCCAATTCTTGATGACGATGAGGAAATAAGTTTTAGTTCATTGTCAGTATCTTATTGGATAATTTACTTAAAAAGAGGTCAATAGAGTCAAGTGTTTAAAATCTTATGTGCACATACATTATCATATGTGTACAAAGACATGGCATCATGACTGAATACAGCTAGGAAAAATAAAATACCTATCCATACATTACCCATGTTTCGCTAAGAGACTAGGGCAAGACAAACATACTATGCATGGATGGCAATTTTTGTTTTGTTTTGGGGGACAGGGTCTCATGTAACTCAGAATGGTCTGGAGCTTTCTGATTATCTTGCCGTCATCTCCCAAGTGCTGGAATTACAGGCATGTGCCAGCCTTGCCAGCTAAGACTACTTCTTTAAAGCCAATAGATGACCTATTCTTGAAGAGGCACATATAAATGATTTGCGTTCTTGCAATATTAAACTTAAATACAGATTTAAATGGTAAATCTCAAGTTTTTATATTAAATCTTATGTTGAATACTTCAATATTTAATATAAAAAAACTTTTGCATTGACACAGGGACCACTATGAGGGTGGCGCCTTATGTTTTGAGAACTAAGATACATTGCCGTTGATAATAACCATACAACTGTTGGTTAAACAGTCTGTTGCAAAATGTGATCACTATGGTCAAAGAAGATAAGCTGCATTTTTTCTCCTTATGTGAGGACAGATAAATGACTTACTCTTTCCTTTTGCATTGACAAGGTTAGCAATGTAACTTGGGTAAGCCAAGGTTAGTACTCTGCCTTATGTCTTTCATAGACTCTGCTCAGTGTTGCTTAGCACATCGCACTGATGCTTCTGGGCAACATTGCTTCATGTCACCAACAAAAGAAATGAACACTCACCTTTCCTGCATGGGTGGGAGTTGGATCCAACTATTAAATCGGGGATCATACCGGCTGACAAAATTTGTGCTGTGTTTTCCTGTAAAAATACATTTGAGACATTTAAAACGTAGATCCCTTTCTTGATTTGTATACTTATCTGTTTTTAAAATCTCGGATGTCAGGTTTAGCAAACATGAATTAAGTCAAGGAACCCTCTAGTGTAGCGTGAGAGGCAGGGAGGCACTTTCTCAAATGTGTTTCCTTTTTCCTCATTCTGTTTATTGTTGTGGAATGACTCAACTCAACCAACCATACCAAAAGCAAATATGTTTGCTAAGCTGTTCTTTTTTATGAGAATATTAGTGTGCTAAAACAAGAAGTTATTGTCTAAAAATTCTCCACTTTAAAGAATTCCTTGTATGATATCTCTGGCTAGAGTTTTTAAAAATAAATTTTCTTTCTAAAAAACATTAAAACTTATTTTCTAGAGAGGTAATCACAGCAAACTTAAGAAAAATGTAAAGAAACATTTCCCATATACTTAAGCCCCATGCATACCTAATTCTTCATTATCAGCATTTATTTTTACTGACCCGTGAATCCTACTGTAATAGAGACTTTTGTCTCCGCATGGAAATAACAGCAGTCATTTCAACTGGTCTTGTATCATGCTTATCACAGAAGCCCTTTTTGTGCATTTGGGAGACACATCATGGCTGTGACGTAAACACAAGTGCATTGGCTGGAACCAGAGCAAGCATGACTCTTCTGAGCTGCTTAGCCAGCTTATCCCCTCTGTTGAGCTTAAAAAGCACATTAGCGCTTCCAAGGTATTAAAATGAATCTTATTTTGCATACATATTGACATCAAAGTGAGAAATAGAAATGAAAGTATATACTATTCTTTCCATGTAGTGCTAGAGGTGGTAACCAACTCACACCTGAGACCTCAACCCTAAACATTGTCTTTGCTCATGCTTTGTAACTAGGCACTGGGTACAGATGTCACCCCAGGAATAAACAGAATGTGCACATGAGTGTGCTCACATGACAGAGACATGATCAAGTGTGAAATCTATTGTACAGGCCTGCATAAATATCATCTCCTTTTGTGCAAGAGAAAGTGTGTCACTAAGGATGGCTGTCTGGTTTTTAGCCTGAAGGGTTAGCTGGAAGGTAACACAATTTGTTGGATTACAAAGACCAAGAAGGGATTGACTAGAAACTAAGGTGAGAAGTTATGAAGCCAGCTTTGTATTTAACCCAGACAAGCCTAGAGGATGTCAAAACAAGGCAACTGCTAAGCTAGCAGCTGGATAATGTTACTACTGCAAGTTTGGGAGCTGTTAGTTCAGAGTTACTATTTAAATGTACAATACTACACAGAAAGAACCATTTAAGAAATGAGGATGGAAATGGAAGATAAAGGGTCTTAAGAGTTATCTCTGGGGAAGGAAAAATATAAAACAACAAAGGAAAGCATGGTAATTTGAAAGGCAAGTAGTGTTTGTGAAGGAAGGAACCAAGTAGCTGTGACTATGAAGAGTGTGTGTGGCATTGACAAGTGTTGCTTTGGTGTACTGATATTGGGGAAAGACAGTGGGGACAACTCAGGACAGTCTAAGATATTAGAACACAGAGGTAAGAGGTGTTTAATGCTCTCAGGACTTCTGAAGTCAATGGAAGACTAAACTAGAAGACACAGCATCAAAGGGGTATTTTGGCTGCTGGGTGGTAGTGGTGCATACCTTTAATCCCAGCACTTGGGAGACAAAGGCAGGCATTATCACTAAGTTTGAGGCCAGCCTGGTCTACAGAGTGAGTTCCAGGACAGCCAGGGCTACACAGAGAAACCCTGTCTTGAAACAAAGCAAAAGGGGGTGTTTTAGTGGTCAATTTTAGTTTTTTAAACTCAATACTGAAAAATTCTTGCGCTGGGAAAAGGAACAAACCCTGGATGTGTTTTAAAAGAGCAACAAAAAAGTTCATCACTGAGTGTCTAGTAGTATGTGGGAAGAAGAGAATCCAGGTCCCCACTTGAAAGGGTGACCAGGAAAGTAGTCTTCTCCAAAGATGCCCTGGTTTTGAGTAGATAGGAAATTGATAAATCACTCCAAGGATTCTAGGGATTGTGTGGATGTGGTCAGGCAGCTGAGGATAACTGATGATACATTGAATTTTACCTGGTGATCCACAGAAAGATAAGAATGGTAAAGATGGCACAGACACTTCAAATAGGGAGACTCCAACTCAAGTAAAGACTATGTCCAGAGCTGTTGTTTGAGTGATTTTGGGGGGAGGGGAGTAAATTTGTCATAATTTCCCTGTAGAAAAATGTATTATCTTTGGTGCTCAAGTTTCAAGGTTAATTCCAAACTGCATCGGAAGGCTAGGAATGCCTACAGGAGTCAGAACCCACACACCATAGGTGAAGCTGTTTCTCTACAAGGTTTGGTTCAGAATTTCCATTTGGAAGAAGGAATATGCCATGGCTGGTAATGGGGCAAAGAAGTGGCTTCGTGTGCTGAGCAGCAGTGGCACAATCCAGAAATCTTCATTTCTGATAGAATGGAAGTGGACTTGACTCAGAGGAGAGGCTCAGAGAAGCCTGGATTGATGGGGGTTGAGGTCAGAGACCATCTCCAGAGGCGGGATGGCGGTATGAAAGGGGTACAGGTGGAGGACCGGGAAGATAAGGGTAGAGTTCTGAGGGTGCCTTGGGAGATAAGAAGCCTTAAAAAACTGAAAGTGAGTTAAAGTGGTTCACCTTTTACTTCCATGGGCTTACAGTTGGGTCTCTTCTAGGGGCTTGGGAGTAGTAGCTACATATAACGGAATTTTATTTTAACTTCCCTCCCCTCTTCTCTATCCTCTACCTATCTTCTCCCTCCCATCTTCCATCCTTTCCTATAATTATTCATCCCTAACTACTCTCTTTTCCTTTCCTCTTCTCCCCTCCTCTCTCCAGCTCCTCTCCTCCCCTACCATTTCCTCCTTCCATTTCCAGTTTCTTTCCCTTTTCTTTCTGTCTTCTCCCATCCTTTCTGCTCCCTTTCCTTTCCTCACATTCCCATTTTCCTTCCTTTCCTTCCCTCTCCTCTTTCCCTTCTTCTTCCATTCCATCAGGGTCTCAAGAGCAGTCTACACTGGCCTCAAACCCTGGATCCCGCCCCCTCCGCCCTGTCTTTGTGCTAGGATTACAGGCTTGCCCCACCACAAGCCTGTAATCAGACTCTTCCTTCACTTCTCTTCTTATGATGATTCCCAGACACCAAACACCAGTGATGACTACTAGTATAAGTGAGGAAATGGGGCAGTTTCCTGCCAATGGTGTGGAGGAGCAGACGTGGGGAGGAAAATCCCTTTAAGTTGTTTGGGAAGTCAAGTATGTAAATCAAGTATCTATATATTCTGATAGCATATATACATATTAAATACACTCCAATTGCTAGGATGTGGAACAAGTTGACAGGAAGTAACATTTACAAGCAGCTGAGTAGAAGGCTTTGTGTGTGTATATTGCTTATTGGTCCAGAAATTAATGTTTTCTGACCTCTATTTTTGGTTTTGTAATCAAGATCACCAATAAATAAAATTATATTTCTGCTTGATGAAGTGAATCCTTACGTTTTATTAGCATGATCTGGAATTTGCAATTTTGTATTTTTCAGGACACACCTCTCATGGACCATTTTCACATGAATTAACATTGAACCTGAGGTCTCATCTTTAGACAGACATATATGTGCATTACATTTGAACCACATGTTTCATTGTTCTCTCATAAAGCTACTATATACTACTATATAGTATATAGAAATACTTTATAATAGCATCAGATATATATCCTCTGTGTTGGTATTAGTTGCACAGGGCATGGAAATATAAAAATTCCATATTTTTGAGAGGTTCAAATCCTTTCAGTGTTTTTAGAAGTGAAATCTCTAGAGTTCTTTGTGAACAAGTGGGAGACACTTACCACTCATGCAGCACTTCCTACGACTAAAGGCAAATATCATGTTTTGTTTAAACCACAGTTGACCTGGCACAAAGAAGTACTTACATGGAAGGCACTGTGATAACAGTTACTATTGACCAAGACCCTGAAATAAGACAAACCTATGGTGGAATTGATCCTCTCCTTTTGTGAGCACTGTATCCCCACAAGGATGCTCTTCAGGCTTACTATCCTTGCACAGAGAAACTCAACCTAGCATAAATTGTGGCTCACAAGGTGCTTCTGAGGATTCTTTGAAATTTCATCAAACTTTTCTGGCTGAAATATCGAGTGCTTACAAACTATCACTGCTTCTACTATCGGAGTCTACGTAGCTATATACGAAGTATTCATGGAATTGTGGTAGACAGTTATAGTGCATAGCCCAGCTCCCTTATAAGCAGATGCAGCCATTTCTTAGTTGAAATGTTTGCTCATCATGACCACATGCACAGCTCTCGCCAAATAGACTGCCTTACCTTCTGCTCTTATCTTCCACCTGGGGAAGATGCTGGCCAATGACTTTATATAGAGTGTTTTTTAATTATAATGCATTTTTTAATTGACAAGGGGAACTAAAGGCTAACTTAGTTGCCTCTGGTATATCCAGTTCCCTTCTGTTTAAAGAAGCCAAATTTCCAACTTGAAGTTTCCAAGATTCTAAAAAGGAATTTTATAGGAAGAGAGAACTGCCAGGCCTGTAACTGGGGTAACACTGAAATTAGCATACAATACATAAAGCTCTACTAAAACTTCCTTCTGAGCTTCCTAGCATTAAGTCAGAGGAGAGACACTGATTGGCATGATCAGTGATCCTGATAATGTGCACAGGAGCACACCATGCCCTGGCACCCCAGTCTGACAAGAAATTGCCATGTGAATCTCCATATGAGGTACACTGAGTTTCCAGTGAGTGACTCCAGTAGTAAGTGCGACTATGGATTAATAGCCATTCTGCCAGAGCATGTTCATGCAGGACTTTGATCTGGGTTGCTGTTTGTTCCAGGTGTAGGTTGAGTGAAACCAGGATATTCCAATAGCGAAGTATTGGTTTCTGAATTTAGTCAAATACAAAATTTTGATCCTCTTGACTAGAGATA